ATAGTCCACACGCAATACCCCCTTCCCGTGTGCACTTCTAGTGCGGTAAGGTTTTGAGGTGTTTTCTTATGTTTTCGGGTATGAGAAATCCGAATCCGGTGGTATTTTTTATGTAGGTGCGTGCAATTAATAGTTATAAACAAATTAAGTGGTTTTTTTGATGATTTTCTTTTTTTATGGGAAACATTGGCAAATAGAAGAAAATGTTCATGACAAAAGTTGTTCCTTTTTGTGTAATAAATAATGATCAATTTTTTAAATCAAAATCCATCAATCCGTTGCCGAAATATGGTCCACCAGGTGAACGCGGGAGGATGTGCGGCGCGCGCAGTCCGCTCGAACCTCTTCCGTGTCGCGTACGCACCCATTTTCACATCATTTTGATACTTTCGTCATGGATGCAACAATTGAAGGAGTAATTCAAAGAAGATAATCCTACATAGAAGTCAAAATTCAATTCAAACATAAGAAAACACCTCAAAACCTTACCGCACTAGAAGTGCACACGGGAAGGGGGTATTGCGTGTGGACTATTAGGTTTCGAGTTCGCTACTGAATTGCAGTTGTATTTTTCCATTCAGTTTAACTTTAGAGCTGTTTAACGAATCAATTAGTGGTGATTTTTTTATGGTGATAGAGCATTAGCCACATCGGCCCGTACAGGTCGTACTATAATTCCAAAATCATATAGAAACGATCCGTACTGGCCGATCTGAGGTGATGAAACCGTGAAATGTAAATGTAAGCGCCTGAAAACAGTTACAATCACCATCGCTTGAGTTATTTGAATTTCGCACTGATGAGGCGTGTTGATGCGTGATGATGTGATCATTTTCCACACGTCCCAGTACAGGTCGTACTATAATTGGAAATTCATATAGGAACGACAAGTACTGGTGAGTGTGGAATGATACGATGATTGGATCATGAATTAAAGCTACGAAGAACGATGAAATTACCTGAATTGTTGACTAGTAATTTTGAAAAATAACGAAACCTCAACATTTTGAACGGCAGCAAAACGAGAGTTCCCAAATTTGCTTGAATTTTCAATGAAAACATCAATATTCAGCGCATAATCACGCTGAATTTTCAATAACTTGGAAATTTACGAATGTATTTACCGGAATTTTTCTGATTTCTATTTTCATAGAATAATTGAATTGAAATTTATAGTTTTCATTGATTTTTCCCAAAAATTGGGAATTTACACTTATATAACTATAATATAACGAAAATAACACGAAAATTTCCAAGCAGTGTACCGGAAATTTCAGCTCAAACTTTCAACAGTGAATACAAATGAAATTGTCATTTTTTGGTCAGTTGACTAGTAATTTCCAGGAGAGTGACATTGAATTCGGCTCAGAGGGAGAAAAATGATTGAATAATTAAAATGAATAATTGATTTCTAGTAACCTTCATTATAAAGTGGGCTGAAATTTACAGTTTCCATTGATTTCTCCATAAAATTTTCAATTTTCAAGAAGTCTACAAAGAATTTCAGCCAAAAATTTAAACAATGTAGTGATGAAATCGAAACCTAAACTTCTACCATAACATAACTTTCATGAGATTATTCATTCAAATTATTCATGAAAGTCATGTTACTCAGTTATTGAACAGATGATTGCCCATTTTTCCAGGATTACGAGTACTGATCGTACTATATTTATACAACATACAGAAACGACACGTGTCCGTAAGCCTGAAAAATCCTCCCTCCAATGACGCAACAAGTGATTCAAGATGAACGACCCCTCCCATCCCGAGTACAAGTCGTACTATAATAAAAATGACATATAGAAACGACGAGTACCCAAGGATCCGAGGCGAATGTTAATTAGATTAGATGAACAGATGAACTAAAGGGCCCATTCCGTGGTAACTCGTCGTACTATAATTCTTATCCCATATAGAAACGAAAAGCTACTACTGACTGAGCCCTCTAAATGTGCGATTCAATCCCCAGATGTGTGCGCTATAATTATAATTAGTCGTACAAACGACGAGTTCATTCAAACTGGAAAGCGCTATAATTGCCTCGATGGAACTTGATAAGCGAAATGATCTCGTATCATGCAATGCATGTGCTAATCCCCGTGTTACACCGAAAATACAAAAACTATGATTGAAGCAACCACAACTTCTCAGTACTGGATCCGTACTATGAAAGTTATATAACACAGTACAAGATAGTACTGAGGTCTTGGGATTGCAAATGAAAAATTGACGAGCAATGACGATGAAGGTGTGAGATCGTTAATTTTCCATGACTTACGCCGTATTTTCCAGCAACTTCTTCAACGACTGGTGAAATAATTATCCCCGACAAGCATCCAATGGTATTCATTATTCCGTAGAGAAATCCTGCGTAATTTGGTGATAAATCTTGGTTATTTGATAAGTTTGAGATGGAGGCGGCACCGTTGAAGCCGAGTGCAAGGACTAGGAAGACATTCGCCCAGAAGAAGGAGCAGCCGAGGTAGCCGACGATTATCAGGCAGACTCCTGGCAATAAGTGGGCTGTGAAAATAATCAAAATCGTGATTAGGGACACCTGAACCGCGGATTGAAATGAACAATCTTACAGAAAATAGTGGCTATTTTCCGCAGGGCAGTCACAGACATAAACTGCTTCCTTTTGATGACATCTCCAGCCCAGCCGAAGAAGAATGCAAAGAGGACTCTGCTGGCCCATGGCAATCCAGCCACAACACCACCTTTTGTCAATTGAAAACCCAGGGCTTTTGTCTGGTACAGCATCATGCCGTTTTGATAGAAAAATAACAGGAAGAGGTTTCCGAAATGACAGAGTATCAAACATAAGAATGGAATTGATGTCATAATCTGGCGAATGGGAGTTTCGCTCAAGGACGGCTTCTGCTTTTGAACAGTGCCTGCTTGGGCTCTGTGTGAAAATTAAAATATTAATCCGTTATTATTGCGATCAATTGCTGAGAGAAAAGGATATCCAAGTACTTTTACAATGATTTTATTATTTACACGTTGCAGGTCCGAATTTCAATCCCGAAATTGAACCGTAAGGAAGCATTTAAAAAAAACGTTGGAGTTTACTTTTGGAGAAAGATTGATGAAATAGTTAAAAATATTATAAACATTTATAAACAATCAATTTGTTCGGAATCGTTCAGCATCGTAATTTCAGTTATTTATTTATAAACAACGAATGTTAAAAAAAATAATTCTGTGCAAAATGGAATTTGAATGACGCTGGATATTCATGATTTTTTTCTAATTTGATCATTGAAAATGGTTGAATCTGTAGTGTAGTCTGTACCAAACTGTAAAAGATACTTGGATATCCTTAATTTGAAACAAAGATGATCAATTATTTTTAATGACAGCACGAGAATAATTTTCTGTACTTTTTAAAAAATTTGGGTGAACGAAAAAAGTCTATTTACTCTAGGATGAAGTTTTTCTCTTCCTCGGTGATGCCCGGATGTTCCTCCGGTGAGTCCCAAGCGAATAGATACCAAGCAACCACCCACACGAACATCATAATAGCCGGTATATACCACCCACTCTCCCAATTAATGCTCTCAGCGATTCCCGAAATCATTCCGAATAGAAAAATGGAGCCAAAAGTCCCTCCTTGCAGGGTCCAAACGAATCGTCCTTTTTCGTCCGGCGGGGCCCACCTCGCGACCATTGTGTGGCAGGCGGGAAAAGTGATGCCTCCAGTAACGCCAATGACCACTCGCGATAGTGCGAGCGCTATCCACGATACGTGAGCTAATATCGGGCTGATTAGGGATACGACACCAGCGAGAATTGATGACCAGAGGATTGCCCGCCTCGGGCCCCATTTTTGGGCCACGACACCGCCTATGAAATTTCCGGGCACGTTACCCCAGCTGTACGCTGAGATCAGTTGGCCACGGATGAAAGGCGTCCACTCAAAGGGAGTACCGGAGAACAGATGCATCCCGGCTGGAGCTGGGGGTGCCTCTGATTCGTCGTCTCTGAATGTTACTGGAAACATTCATCATTTTTTGGAGATTGATGATGCGGGAGGAATCGGGGCGCGCTCGAGAAATTAAGGGGGTTTTCCACTTTGACAAAAACTGAGGATGTTTAGATAAGGGAAGAATTTTATGATTTTTTGGGGCGATGAATGTCACGCAGGAAAAATTAAATAGGAAAAGCTTGCGCTTATTAAAGCAATTCTATTTTTTTGCGCCAATTCTATTGAAAATTATGATAAATTTTGTTACCCTATTATTTGTTTTTATTGGAAAAACTTAATAATGTTGATTTTTATATAAAGTCTTTCGTGGGAATTTTTTATGTGAGAATTCTTGGGGATTATCTTTTAATTTTTTTTCTTGGATTTTGTTGTGGGGAACAAACAAAAATACAAATGAAAAACTTATGGAATCTGAAATCAAGAAGTTCTATAGAATAAATACGAATCGGATAATTTAAACAGATAAATGAACATCTACTAAATTTTTTCAAATATCTCTCGAAAAATCAACTGATCAATTGCATAATTTGCAATAGAAATGGGCGCAAAATCGAAAAGATTTTTCAATAATTCTATAGAATTAATTAGATTACTATTCTGCGATTTTTCCTAAAAGAATTCTTGGGAATTATTTTCTAATTTTTTTTTCTCGGATTGTGTGACGAGAAATGATAAAAAATACAAATAAGGAAAACCTTATAAAATTTATACTCAAGAACTTCTATAGAATAAATGATTGACCAGATCATTGAAACTGATAAATTAACATCTATTAAAGATTTCCATCAAATATCTCGAAAAATCGCGTAATCAATCGAAAATTGTGTAATTTGCGATAGAAATGGGCGCAAAATCTAAGAGCGCGATTCGGGATAAACAGCCTTGAAAAAAATATTCTCGTACCATTGAGGCCGGGGAAGACAGTCTCATTAGTGTCTCTCTGAAAAATAGCGTGTAAATACTCAGGATCCTCCACCTGATCAAAAATTATCGATCTTCCCTTTCGATTCGCCTGGGCTTCAGCATCGCGGACACATGCACCCGAGAGTTCATGCTTATCCCCCATCGTTCGTATCATGGGGACCGCTAATATGCTCATCTGCAGACGGCACATGTAGCTCGTCCAACAGGCAGTGAACATCATGATGCAGATGATGACTCGCGATGGAATCCATTCTGCAAATGGAGTTGAGAATAGTCATTCCATTTTTCATTACTTGACAGGTTTGATTTATTGAATCTACGAGAGTGCGACTTACGCAGGAATTTCCACATTTCCGATTATAAGTTACGATCGAAATGTTTTTAATGACAGATTCAACGGATACTATGAAACTAGTTTATTGTGAAGAACATTCTTCGGTGATAAAACAATATCGGTTCATTGCTATGGAAACAAAGTTATTTCGGAATAAAAATGACTTCGAAAATCCCGGTTGATTCGGTTCATTGTTCAATACGAGAAATACCGGAAAACAGGAAACTGATGGGAAACGAGAGGACTCTGTAAACAACTTATGCAATGTTCATTAACCTGGTTGAGTGACATCAATAATAGCATGGCAGTTGTGTCTGCAAATCGTTATGTGATGAATCGATAGATATTGTGGGGTTTTTGGATGATTTCGGAGGTAAGGTCAGTCTTTTTATTATGTATTAGAAATAAATAACAGGTTCACGAAGAAATTTCGTTGAACTTTTGAATATCGAGAATATTTCGAATCGAAACTTTTATTTTCAATATTCTATTCTACTATTCGTTCTATTTATCAAAAATTTTATTCTCAATAGGAAAAACCGTGATTGAACTAAGAATTGAAGAGAATAGGATATTTTTTCTCATTTTTTTTTAGTAATAACAAAAAAGAACTTTGAAATTTCTATCAACGTAGAGACGAGATGAAATGCTCAATGAAGAATATGTTTTCCGCTCGTTTTGAAAATACAAATTTAAAAAGCCGTTGAATTTTTGAATTTTTTCAAAAAATTTATTCATTCTATTATTTCCAATATTATATTCTATTATTCTTTCTATTCATCAAAAATTTTATTCTCATTAGGAGAAACCCTGATCGGATTTAAGATTGGAGAGAATATGAGATTTTTTTTTTTTTTTCGACAATAAAAAAACGCCAATTTTTTCGAAAATGAGATTTTTATCTACATCGAATCTTAAAGTGGCCAAAATAATTTTTATGTCCTCTCAAAAAAAAATTGTACGGCCGAAGAAAACTTTTCTGCCGAAGGTGAGAGTTGTATCAGTTAGAAGTTTCTTACGGCAGGGCGACGAACAATTTTTCTTGTCATAACGGCCGTAGGCAGCGCTTCACGGACGCTACGCATCCGTAAATCGCTTCCTGACGGTCGAAATGACAAAAACTTTTCGTTTCCCCGTAAACGAAAAAAGGCGCAGTCCGCCACTCGATGAATGTAACATCAAATATCGCAGTCTCATTCGAGTTTCCACTGATCAAACCCTGGGATTAATTAATTTCGAACTTCTAAATTTATTTTTTTCCTGAACTCATGAGTTTGTTGTTAACTAATTCTGGTGCGCCTGAGCCTTCGTTGAGAATCCCTCATTAAAAGTTATTCTTCTCAACAACAAAATTCCGGACTAAAGTAACAATTGAAAAGAAAAATAAACTCTTTATTCGGTGAAAAATAAAAAAAACTCTGAAGTCGCTATAAACACATATTTTCTTTCTCGATTTAAGTAAAAAATATTCCTGATCCAAGAAGACGCCGTTGAATGGTATAGAATCCCGGAGATTTCAAACTGAGATATTCTTCATTAAGAACCATTTCACCCTTCACTTAGAACCATTACTATTAATAGGAAATGTCTGATCGAATTAAAGATTAGAAAAACTATCGTATTCTCGATTTCAGAATTCGTTTTCCGTAAATTAGATTAAAGTGCGCTAATAAAAACTTCTCCAATTTAATTTCCGAACTTCTTCAATCTAATTACCGAAATTACACAAACATACACTTTAACGTGCATTACCCGCGTAATTACCTCCCGATTCCGATTTCAAACGATTGATTAATGGGCCAAAAGCCGTAATTCACCGATTGCAACTGCAGAAACTCTACCAGAACTTGTAAACGACTCAATCCCGAACAATTTTCCCTCCAAATAACAATTACTTACTTGGTGTTATCTTCTGGTAGATTTTCTTGTACATTTTCGATGTCTCAACGGATGGGCGAAGTAAAAAAACTGAAGTCAAAAATCAAAATTAACAAACACTGAAGACGCTGATTCTCCGATTATTTCCGAACAAATTTGAAACTCGCACTGACTTTAACAGGATGTGAATGCACATGAAAAATCACAGAACGTGTCACCTCGATACTTGTGTATCGAAAATCAAGGAGAGACTGATGAAAATTTGTTGCCAACAGGCAACTATATAGGGGCTGACGACAGTGAGGGCGGAGGGGGGGCGGGCAGAGCGTCTGCAGAATTCAACAGGACTCCCTCAAACTACTGGATAATCCAGGTAGTCCTTCAGGCGAGGAGGGGGTCCAGGTATATCCGTACGGATATAGCCGGCTGTCGCCTATTCATACTTTCTGGAAAGGAAAATTCCCGAAATATTGAATGGAAAATGCGCAGGCCAGTCTGTGATGTTTATGACCTTTCCTCCATTCCGCACTTGGTTGCAATAACAAGAAAACTTTCGAATAATTTTACCAACAAAGTTGTTCTGGATATTTGAATATTTTTTTCGCATTTGCACTTCGATTTTTCCTCGAGCAATGCGGTTATCAATATTGGACAGTGGGTGCACGGTGGCACGTACCTTGAGTTTTTTTTTTAATTGTATGTCCATTTGGTGAGCGCCATGCGATAAAAAGTGAGCACTAAGGAAACTGACGAATGTAAAACATTAAGAGTCGCTTCAATATTTTTGTTTTTATGAGACATGTTGGAATGCGAAGCGAGGGGAAACTCATTGAACTGCACTTTTGTTTACTTTGGCTCTTGAGGGGGTCATGTATGCAGAGAAAAAAATTGGGGGAAAATTACTGAACGAGTCAAGTAATCGTGGAGCGAACTCGATTTTCAGTTTTTTTCATCCTGTCTGGGAAATGCGCGAGACAAATAGTGAATTTTTCTCCGTTTGATAATTTACTGAAGACGAGGGTAAAATTATCGAAACAGTTAAATTTACCCTGCGTTACATGAAAAATTATCTCAGGGAACGTGAATGATTGCTCAATATTGCGAATAATTTTTCTGCAACGGAGAATGATTTTTTTACCGAGGGCGTTCGGGAAAATTTCACTTCCGTTCGTCCCCATGACCTTCAGATGGGGGCAAGAAAAACAAGTGGAAATTGCTCTTATATTGTATATAGTATAGTTGTTTTGTTAATAAATTAGCAATATGCTTCTGAATGGTAACTTTGCATATCATTTCCTTCAATCATGTATGATTCATTGTTAATAGAAAATTTTCATTTCTACATACTTGAATGAATTTGAAACATCACATTTGAAGAAACAATCAGAAAGCTAATTTTCAGGGAAAGTCAAAATTTGCAATTCGCAATTTTAAACAATCACCATAAAAATCAAAATCATCTTTTAACTTCTCCTTAATGGAATTCGAACAAACATTTTTAGCTATGATTGAATTAATTTGAAGCATGATATTCAAAGATATCCCCGGAATTCTCATTTTCAAAAAATGCAAAATTTTTGCAAATTTTCTGATAAATCAAAATAACGATTATTGAAAAACAATTTTTTTCACTCAACCAATTGAGAACATTTTTTTTACTTATCGTGAGATAACCGATTTTCGAGAAAAGTCGAAAATTAAAAAAGCGAATGGATGAATTAAATTTTAATTAATGCAATTGATAGGGCTCAACAATACCTACATTAAAAAAAAAAGATTCAATTGCATCCAATCATTAGCGAACAATTGAAGAAAAACTTTGTTACATACGTACACACACATACACACGTACCGAGGAGGCCTAAAGATTGCATTTTCGGACTTTTTGAATCATACTGGATCGATATAACACAAAAAATCCAAAACTTAATTTTGGACGCTTCCATTCCGAAAAACAATGGGGCGCGGGGGAGAATAGGGGACATTTTTCGACCCCCCGCACGCATTTAATCCCATGCTTTCTAGGGGTTCGCCGTGCGGCACCGTATTTATTTTCCAGATTTCTAGCTTCGGTTCCTGGTTTGAAATTTTGTCGCATGGATTAATGCATTATTATCTTCTAGCGAAGGGGTAGAAGCAATTTAAAACATTTTTCTTCTGAAACACGATTGGTACTCTTAATTTATGTAAGAGTTGCGATGAGTGAATTTTCCCCCCAAGTACAAAGAAGAATAAGGGAGAATCAATTTCTCAGGTTTTTTTACTCTTTTCCACCTAGCAGATTGAATGCATTCGGAACCTATCTAGAGGTCATTTTATATACGTTTTTTTATTGGACCTTCGTAATGAAACCAATGCACGAGGGGGTCATAAATAAAATAAATAAAATTTTCTTAGAAAAAACGAATGTTTAAAAAAAACTATTCTGCGCAAAATGTGCTTGGAATGACGCTGAATACTCTTGATTTTTGTCAATTTTTTTTCACGCAATTTAATTGACAAATTTGATGATTGAAAATGACTAAATTAAGGATTAATTTATGGAATAAAGAGCAATTAATTAATTGATTGTCGTGCTGTGTGTCACAAACTGTAAAAGATACTTGGATATACTTAATTCATTTTTTCGAGATGACCCAGAGAGACAAGTATGATTTCTGTATCATTTTTTGGCTTAGAAATAAAAAAATTCAACTAAATACGGCTTTCCAAGTAGTCTCTGAATACCTCACGTTGGTAATTCATGCATATTTCCAATTGTTTATCGCTCTATTGGATAACTAATGGAGTCATAAATAAGAGCAATAAACACCAACCAATCTGCAGAAAAATTGAAAAACGCGAGTTGCAAAAAAACCTCAAGTGAAGAAAAAAACTTGCATCTAATCTTCAAAAGATTAAATATAGCTTAGGAATGAGAAAAAAAATCAGACTACAGAAGGCAGTATACACTGATAGAACGGTTTAGTCGAACCAAACGAAACTTTTTAACTATTACCACGATTCGTTAACTATTAACGAATGTTAAATAACGAATGTTAAGGGTGTTAACAGTTAAGAATCCTCCGTTGGTGCACCTGAATCGTTCCACCATTTCTATCAGTGTAGCAATATAATTGCGAGACGAAGCACCAGTGAACAATATTCTCCACTTTATTTCGAAGAGTGCCACTAAAGATAGCCAGTAGAATTTATCAAATGAATGTGGGAAAAACACACAGAAAAGACTTGAGGTGAAGAGTATAAAAAATTTAAACATTGAAATATACTGATGAAAATGAATACTTAAGGCGTAAAATGCGATTATAATTGTGACAGATGTCAATGACAACACGATCAAGTCGAAAAGTAAAATGATAAACTTAAAATTATTAAAGAAGGGCTAGTTATAGCCCGATATCGTGACTATATTTTCTCCATCAATATCCTTACGAATTAACTGAATTAGTTATTCACGGGAAAAATTACTAAAATTACTAAAACCACAGAATCAAGTAATTTGCGCCGAAACTGTAGAATTAATTAATTGATTAATTTACCATTAATTAATAATAATTTATTATGAACACATTATAATAATGTATTAATTAATTAATTAAGTACTCTTTATTCCATCAAAAATTATCCTATGGACGTGAATAATTGCTCAATATTGCGTCATCATACATATCGGTAGGAATTTTTCTGTGTCGGAGAATGATTTTTCCACCAAACGCGGTATAGCAAAATTTCACTTTCGTCCGTCCGTATGTCCTTCCCAGTAGCCGAAAAAAACCCCTACCAGTGGGGGAAATTTTGCTGCACAGGGAACAGAGTCTTTGCAGCCATAAATATCTCTTTACCGAAGAAATGGTAAAATACCCTTCGCAAAAAGTATTTTTCCCTCAGCCGCAGTTTTCTACATAATTTTTCCCCAATTTTTTTCTCCGTCTACAATCACTCAGTTCTCCAAAAGTACAAGACATTAATCCTAAATATTCCTCTAACCCCCCAACTGCACCATCACTTCCCAAAGCCTTGAAACTGTCCCCCGTAGTTTGTAATCCCAAGGTACCGGTATTACGATAGGTACATGACGCACTACCCAACAATAAACCACCTCTCGCCCTTCCCCGAAGGTCCCGCCGCCCCTTCAGGTAGTGCAATAAACCCATCAAGACTGTCAGTAGAGCTCGAGAAATTAATTCTCAAAAATTTTCACCTCACCTCTCCCACCCCGAGGCCAAATAGTCTGGGTAATCCCTTCTGACCGCCCTCGATGCATCGCATTGTGACCTGAGTCATAAAACAGACCGAAGAAACAATAATTCCCAGGTATGCCTCGCATTTTAGAATTCATAAACGAAACATCTGACCTCAAGCATTCGCTCAAAATTTCTCCTCTGTATTTTTTCAAGTTCTTATTCCCTTCATACTTACGCTCTTGTCTTCTGTATCCGAGGAGAGGGACATCCTCGTCAAAAATCCGGTCCTCACAGACCTCAATGTCATCCATTGCTAGCCATTGAATCACTGAGTCTGGGGGCATTACCCACAGTTTTCATATTTATTATCAGTTAAAGTGCGAAGGTCATTACGCACATTTCGATATTGAAATAATTCTCTCGCAGTTGGATTTAAATGTCACGAGGGAATCCCAGTGGTGTTAAATCCCCTGGCTCTCAATCTAGGGATTTTCGGGATTACTGCGAGAAAATCACTAGAGTGACAAGCGTTTTTCCAGGGAAACGAAACTATTCAGACGATTTACACAGTCGCTCCGGATTTATTTCCCAATAATTGGAGTAATACGAGTGGAATTTTGCATTATTTAGGCACTTGTAGAATAGATAAATACTGCGTCCCATCATGACGCTCAACAAGGTGAGGAGAATCTACCTACATTGTGATATTTGCATTCTTGGAGCGCGAGTTTTGGTTATGTTGAGCTCCACTTTTGTTTCAGATGGAGGTGGACGATAAACTTTCAAAGGGCGAGGGTTTCAAGCCTTATTACATTACGAAAATCGAGGAATTGCAGCTTATTGTTGCGGAGAAGGGGCAGAATTTGAGGAGATTACAGGCACAACGTAATGAACTCAATGCTAAAGGTATGGAAATTGTAGTTTATTTTGTGGGTCAATTTAATTCCCTCATATTCTCATTGTTTTTTATCGTTTACAAATGGAAATTCTCTGAAATTGAATTATTTTCTGAAACATTACCTTTCTGGGATTTTTTTGCTATAAAAAATGAATGATTTTGCTTGACTGACAATCATTATTTTTCCGACATGTCACTGAACCCAATTTCATTTAAAATATCAATAAAAATAAAGAATAGTCAATATTAATGTTAATTAGTTTGCGTTCAATTAGAATGTAATGAAGCTTTCGTTTTTTTTTTCATATTTTGATATTGATATTTTGAAGTTTAGACAAATAGTCACTATTCTTCATGAGTGTCTTCATACAATGAAATAGTCTATAAACATGAGAGAAAATATTCTGACAGGAAAGAATTTATTAATAGAATTGATCAGTATTATATTACAGTAGCAACAATAGACTATTAATGTCAATTCAATTTATAATTTTCTATTGTTCCATCAATTCCACTGAACTAAACTTTGATATTTACTTCAAGCATCAACAAAACGAATAGTTAGAATTTTTCATTAATGCATTGCTCCAATGAAATGATCCAAAAACTTGTCAGGAAATATTCCAGATCTCAAATTGACTTGAAACGAAATAGTTAAACGCCACAAGAACAATTTATGAAGAAAATTCATCAGCAATATTGACAATATAATTTATTGACTATTGATTTTGTTTTAATTCATAATTTTCAATTGCTCTGTCAATCCCATCGACTGAAACTTCGACATTTATTTATATTATATTTATATTATTTATTTATATTATTTATATTATTTATTTATATTATAATGTTTTTTTTTTTTTAGTGCGTATGCTTCGGGAAGAGCTCCAACTCCTGCAAGAGCAAGGCTCCTACGTCGGTGAGGTTGTAAAACCAATGGACAAAAAGAAAGTCCTCGTGAAAGTTCACCCCGAGGGAAAATTCGTCGTCGACATTGACAAGAACATCGACATAAATGACGTCACTCCAAACTCACGAGTTGCCCTTCGAAATGAGAGTTACACCCTTCATAAAATTCTCCCCAACAAAGTGGATCCTCTGGTGTCCCTCATGATGGTGGAAAAAGTTCCAGATTCGACTTACGAGATGGTAGGGGGTCTCGACAAGCAAATAAAGGAGATTAAGGAGGTGATTGAGCTGCCAGTGAAGCATCCTGAGTTGTTTGATGCATTGGGTATTGCCCAGCCCAAGGGTGTTTTGCTTTATGGCCCACCAGGTACTGGAAAGACCCTCCTGGCTAGAGCTGTAGCTCACCATACTGAGTGCACGTTTATTCGTGTCTCTGGATCGGAGCTTGTTCAAAAATTTATTGGCGAGGGCTCGAGAATGGTCAGGGAGTTGTTTGTCATGGCTAGAGAGCATGCACCGTCGATTATTTTCATGGATGAGATTGATTCCATTGGCAGTTCGAGAATTGAATCTGGCTCTGGGGGTGACAGTGAGGTGCAACGTACCATGTTGGAGCTGTTGAATCAGCTTGATGGGTTTGAAGCCACGAAGAATATCAAAGTCATCATGGCTACCAACAGAATTGACATTCTGGATCCTGCTTTACTCCGTCCTGGGAGAATCGATCGTAAAATCGAATTTCCACCACCAAATGAAGAGGCCAGGCTCGATATTCTCAAGATCCATTCGAGGAAAATGAATCTAACTAGGGGTATTAATCTGAGGAAAATTGCAGAACTGATGCCTGGGGCATCTGGAGCTGAAGTTAAGGTAAAAATTTTCTTCATTTTCTTTAATTGGGAAAATGTTGACTGTTTGATTTATGTCGATGGGTGAATTTATAGGGCTTTACTAAGGGTCGTTCGGTCTTTATTTTCAGGGTGTTTGTACTGAGGCAGGTATGTACGCACTTCGTGAACGTCGAGTGCACGTGACGCAGGAGGATTTCGAGATGGCAGTTGCCAAAGTTATGCAGAAAGACTCTGAGAAGAATATGTCTATTAAGAAATTGTGGAAGTAATTTTTTTCGTTTAAATGTATTGCTAAGGAATTTAATAAATGCTCTTACTTATTTCGATAATTTTTGTATTCTATCGAGGTTAATAAATTAGTCAATGGTGAATGAGACAATCAATTGTTCTCAGGAATTAGTTTTCATTGATTATTCATAATTTGAATTAAAATTCATAATTCAAACTGATTTTTGGATTTTCGATTGTCATTTTTGAGGTATGATAAAAACAGGAATGGTCCAAACAGACATTTTTAAATTTATGCATCACTCATTAGTCGACATAGACGGGAAAAAGTTCTTTAAAAAATTCCAAGGGGACTAGGTAAATGATAGGTGAATTGGAAATCGTCATTTTTTATTAATAATAATTAAAAATTTCATTACGAGTGAAATGAAATTTATTCACGTGTGATAATTGTTCATTTGGATTAAATTATTTAATTATTTGATTGAATACTGGATGAATGTGAAACTAGAATTAGTTATTTCGGACAATTAAAACATTTTCATTGAAATAAATACAAGAGATTATTAATTTCGAACTGAAATATTGTTCAAATGAATCGAAAAATTCCAAATAAAGAGTTTTATTCGATTCAAAAGTGTCATTTCACCCGGGAAAAACCGTCGGGTACGTTCAATTTCAATTATTTTCCGTGTGACATTCTGGCGCTGCAATCAGTTCAGTCACGATATAGAAAACGGTTGCAAAACATTTTATTGGGCCTGGATAAACAAACTCTAAATTCATCAATGAAAAGTTAATTTACAGCATTGTTGACAAGTTTTCCATTCCGGTTGCACCCTAATCATTAATTCCACGAAGTTCTCTCTCCAAAATCATGGATGATTTCAGGTAAGAAACGATTCAATGATTTTGAGGTTATCTGGCCTCTAAATATTTCACTCACCGGCGTTGCCCTCATTTTCAAAACCCCCCAAACGATAATCACCGCGAATTTCCTCAAAATTAACAATTGAATAACTAACAACTGAAATGTTACTCAGTTTCTCTGAGGAGGAGGGCGCAGACACTGCGGATTCCCTGGACATAAAGCCCCCTCAAGCAACAGTTGCCCTCCACAAATCAGGCTCCTCACGTCGCAGAGAGAAGCACAGTGATAGACGTGACAGACGTGAGGATAAAGAGCGAAAATCTCGTCATCATGACAGGGAAGAGAGGTACACAATGAGATAGAAATGTTTTTTATTCAATCCTAGTGTATCCTGGGAGGATTCTGAAGACAAACCATTTAATACAACATTTGCAGCATCAGTATTCAATAATATTAAGGATATCCAAGTACTTTAGCTATTTTTTCTACAGTGAAATGCTTTTCTACTTTTGTAGTGGAACATCAGAGCTTTCATTTGTGCCCCATTTGACCCTAACGTCCCGGACATTTTATAATGATTTTATTATTTAAACGTTGCTGGTCTGAATTTGAATCTCGATATTAAACCGTTGGAAAAAATTTTAAAAATCTGAAAAAAATATTAGAAAGTTTTGGAGGAAGATCGATAAAATAATTAAAACATTGCAATTTTTGAAAAAAAATATGTTTTGAGAGTTGAACAATGTTATTTATTTATTTATAATCAACAAATGTTTAAAAAAATTCTGAGCGAAACGTAATTTGAATGACGGAATTCAATTTTTTATCACGCAATTTAATTGATAAATTTGATGTTTGAAAATGGTTGAATCTATAGTGGGGTCGGTACCAAACTGTAAAAGATACTTGGATATCCTTAAATTCGATCATTACACACTAAATACAGTATATAAATTTTCCATTTCTTTTTCTGTTGTATTTGTTTTTGTTCCTCGATACAAAATTAAAGAACAAAAACTTGAAAAATTCATACCTATCCATAGAAAACAAATGTCAACAGAGTAAATAATACAGAATAAAGAAAATCTATTGGCTTTTCCTATAAAAAATATCTATTGAAAACAGTATGGCCAAGTTTCATAATTTTTAATAGAATTTCTGCGTTAGATTTTTCTCATTAATTTTGTTATGCGCGTATATCTGCAAATATTTGTTGATCCCACAATTTGTTCATTCATAAATTTTTCAAAGCTTCATTCCATTTAATTTATCCAATTATTTTTATTTTGAATTTAGATACAGAGATAAACACAGACATCGAAGACACGGGATGGAGTCTCTAGACAGATCCGACCGTCCAGACAACTCCAAGAGGGACAGAGAGCGGACTGAGAGGCTGGACAGGGGCGTGGAGGCGCACTCCAGGGATGGAGAGTCTTCCAGACATGAGAGGAAAGACCGCAGCACTGGGGATCGCGTACTCGAAGATCTACGAACTAGGTGAGAATCAATTCATCTTCATTAAGCTAATATTAGAGCCCTGTGAGATATTCATTAAAAAATCGTAGTGATTGTGAGCTCTAACTCTCTTCATGCTTTCTATTATTTTATTTCTGCTGTTCTTCTTGTGCAAACTGTTGGAATTTTTTGACCAATTTCCGTGAGTAAGTCTGTTAAATTCAGGAAATATTACTGAAGGATTTTTGGAAATTAGAGCAAAAATTGAATGAAAATTATTCATTAAATGATGGGAACATTCTAAATAATGTTATGAAAAGTGTTGAATAAATTAAAAATGAGAAATTGCAGGAAACTTTGTAAATCCATTAATTAAAAATCTGATAAGTAAATTGAATCATTTCGGCGTAGAAAAAGGGATTCGGATAATCCGAATTTTTTAGCTCAATTTAATGTCCATACTTAAACTTTAAAGGTGTACAGTATTTAAAAATGCATTGCCCAATTTAGCTGACGAATATAAACGTGGAGCGTGAGTCAGTTTCACAAATTCCGTTGATGCATTGGTTTATAACTTTACAACTGCATTAATCGTGATCCGCGTCCAAGTACAACATCATTCAACTTTACGAAACGTTTAATAATCTCCTAGTACAATCCGCTATTTCTGATTCTCAAAGGATCTTTTCGCGTGGAGAACGTTTCTCTTTTCACAACACCACCACCCAATTCAGCTGACGTATAAAGGCGTGGAACGACATAAGTTAATTTCAGAATCAATTTCACAGCACAAGTAAACAGGCCTGAACACAATCTTTTTATTTGTCTCTCTGAAGTTGACATAAAATAGATATTTGATATTAATTTTAACACAACGAAAAATTAAATCGTTTCCACTAATTTTTCTGTTTCACTATTTGAATCTACATAAAATGTTCTTTTTCGTACGAAGTATTCATTTACCATAAATATGATTAAGAATATTTCCTGTTCTTATCACCTTCCTTGATGATTTTGATTCCTGTTTCTCTTTTTTTTTCTCGTTGAAAAAAAAATTCTTCGAATAATAGAACGAGAAAATTCAAGGAATTTCGACGAATTCCTTCAAATATTTGTTCTTTGCTCGAACTATTTACATACTATTTGATTTGTGATGTTGAACACGAAAATTTCAAGCAGTATTTTGCCTAGCTCTGCACGTAAATAATTTCCCTGACTGTGCATAACCCATCCATATTTTTTAAGGAGTCTTTATTACCAGATTTACTAATAATACTCAACACAAGGACCTTCGTTTCAAGATTGCTGGACAAGCGTCGTGAGAGACGCGACGATCCCCGCGATATGCGAGAGTATAAATCAGAATCACGACGTGAATTGCGTATTGAGGAGACAAGGGACAGACGAGAGCTGAGGATAGAGAGCCGGGAGAGTCGTACAGTGTCTGAAGATGGTCGTGATCGTCGTGAGATCAGAGTCGAGGAGCGAAGGCACATGATGATCGAGGAGCAGTACTCGGAGTCCGAATTGATGGAGAGAGTGGAGAGGGAGAAGAGACACAAGAGGAATCACAAGCACGAGAGGACAAGGGACAGGGAGAAAATTGAGAGGGACAGGGAGGACAGGGACAAACAGTTGCGGGATCCCATGGAGATTGGACAGGACAACGAGGGGGAGCCCATGGACATTGCTGATGCACAAGTGACATCGAAAGATCCCAAAGAAATGACGGAACAGGAACTTCGTAGAGAAAGGTACAGGGGCGAGTGGGGTAAAATGGACAGTTGTGACTTTTATTCAAATTTCATTGACTCATTGAATTTTTAATGAAGTAGAATAATTTTTTTTTTCAATGAAAAGTACATTTCTGCCTCTTCGTGACTCTAGACTGAGATCTGAGATTGGAAAAAAGTTGAAAGTGTCCATTTTGTCCCATTCTCTCCCACTGTTAACAACTTTTGGCTGAAATTTGAGTCAAAATTCTATGGAAACGTCAATGAAAACTAAATTTCAATTCAATTATTACATGTAAATTAATAAAAATAGGGACAATTCAGGTAAAGGTATTCGTAAATTCTGAATTAACTGAGAATCCACGCCGCTTGGTAATAAATATTCATGTTTTGATTGGAAATTTCATAGCTATGCAGAATATTTTCTCAATGTTCAAACTTTAAAATACTCAAATGTTTTTATTATTTTCGGATTGATATTTTGTTGAACAGATTGATGGAATTCTACAATTTTTTATGCCTGTTTTTTGTTACAGATTCCTGGAGGCTGATCGAGAAAAGGCTGCGAGGAAGGAAAGAGCGAGATTAGAACTGGAGGAACGTAGATCGAGACGAGGGGAGAAGCGAGTCCACAGTCCGGAACCTGATCCTGATCAGTCTGTCGTGGAATTGTCTGATGAAAGTCGAAGTGAATCTGATGATGAACGATCGAAATCGCCGAAGTAAGTGTTCTTCATATATTTACCAGCATTTTCCATCAGTTTGTTATTTACTGGAGGAACTTAATTCATAACATAATATGATAGATAGTTCTTCAAATTATTTATAAAGTGGTTAAAATTTTCACAAATCTTCTTTTTCTTACATGAAATTGATTTCTTATATAATTCAGAATTTAACTAAATTCGTTGGGATTCCTATGAAATCATTTTTGAAGTAGAAAATTGATTGATAAATAATTTATTTGAGGCTTTCGCAAGTTTGAAAAATTGTAATTTTAATCATTCTATGAATGCTTTAAAAAGTTGGATTTCCATTTTTTCAAAATTTATCATTTTTCCTAACAGTTGACAATGGAGAATCAAAGATAGCCCTTTAAAGGTCAGAGAGAGCTTAAAGTATTACAGACAGAACTCAAATTTTGAAGATGAAAACCTGGAAGTTATCTCGAAGAATTGGAAAGTCAGCGTCAAATTTTGTGATAAATCATTCATGTTTCTGGGGTCTCCGAAATGGCATGTGATGTTAATTTCGTACATTTCTAATTTATTCTATTTCGCTACACTCAACGCCTCAACTGAATTTTATTTATATTACTTTAAAACCAAGTTTGTTCAAGTTCAAATATTGTGAAGGATTTCAGCAGAAAAAAATCGTTTTTAGTCTTTCAAATATCCTTTAAAAAGTGAAAATACGAAATTGTCATGGAGCTAACATGATTAATTTGTCAAATTGCTCCAGATCGCAAAGACATTCCTCGGAAGACCGCAACAGTGGAAACGAGCGTTCGTCGGACCGTCACACCTCTGACTCCTCGAGCTCCACCTCAGACGACGAGGAAGACTCAAACGACTCAGCCCACGGTTCGAAGGAGGACTCCAACGATGGTTCAGACTACAACAACGCCAGCCCCTTATCAGTGGATCGCCTCGCCAAATCCGATCACTCGGACGGTGACTCTCCCGGTCGCGTCGAGTCGAACGGAGTGAAGCCAGAGGAGGAGGAAGAGGAGAAGAAGAAAGAAGTTGTCCCAGAGCTACCGCCGTACCTTCCCGCTATCCAAGGCTGCAGGAGTGTCGAGGAGTTTCAGTGCCTCAACAGAATCGAGGAAGGGACCTACGGGGTAGTCTACCGAGCTCGTGACAAACGCACCGAGGAGATCGTCGCCCTGAAGAGATTGAAGATGGAGAAAGAAAAGGAGGGCTTTCCCATCACGAGTCTTCGGGAGATAAATACACTTCTCAAGGCTCAACACCCGAACATTGTGACCGTTCGGGAGATTGTTGTTGGCAGCAACATGGACAAGATATTCATTGTCATGGACTATGTGGAGCACGACCTGAAGTCCCTGATGGAGACCATGAAGCAGAAGAAACAGGTTTTTATCCCGGGGGAGGTGAAGTGCCTCATGCAGCAGCTCCTGCGTGCAGTGGAGCATCTGCATGACAACTGGATACTCCATCGAGATCTGAAGACATCGAACTTGTTGTTGAGTCATCGAGGGATTTTGAAGGTTTGTTATTTTGTATTTTATTCATTAAGAGGAGGTTCACTGTGGGAAAAAACGTTTTCGTTTTTCGAGAAAAAAATTGAAAGTACTATTTTCCGTGCGATTTATTGAAAAGTCAACTTGACAAAAATCCCCAATGTATTTTTTTGAATAGTTTTTTAAAAATATTTTTTTAAAGGTGATTTTCCGATTACAAAAATTAGAATCTCATTTTTTAGCCGTCGGAGATAAATTCGACATACTAAATTGGATTTCTGAGGAAAAATCACGCAGAAAATAGTATTTCAAATTTATTTTTCTCGAGAAATGGAAAAGTTTTTTTACTGGGGTGAACTTATCTTTGAAAATCCAACAGCCTAGGTCAATTATAGGGTCAAGTCAGGAAAAATCCAGTGAATTCGACGGAATCTTCTATTGGATTTCTATGAACATTCTATTTGTTTTCGACTATTTTTTTTTGTAATAGAAAATTTCCAAGAGAGTGTATTTTATCGAAAAAAAAATCAATAGAATTTCATTTTTCTAATGAGACATTTTCTATAAGAATTCCTCGACATAAATTTTCTGTTTTTTCCACTCTATGGTCCTCCCCTTTTCATTTAATACATGAAACAAAAAAAATAGGATATTTGAGCCTACGCATTTGTTAGAAAATATCTCAATAGAGTAAATTGTACAGAAAAATGATATAGCATTGATTTTTTTCTATAGAATATTGGCCATTGAACATCTCAGTTGAAAAAAAATAATAGAAAATTCAATAGAAATCTGCAATACTATTTTACCTTGAATATGATTAGAGTTGTCATTGTAATTATTGAAGGTCGGGGATTTCGGTCTGGCGAGGGAATATGGGTCCCCCTTGAGGCAATACACACCAGTGGTGGTGACTCTGTGGTACAGAGCACCCGAGCTCCTTCTGAATGGAAAGGAATACAGTACTCCAATAGACATGTGGTCAGTTGGCTGTATCTTCGCTGAGTTAGTGAGGATGGAGGCGCTTTTCCCAGGTAAATCTGAGATCGACCAGTTGAACAGGATTTTCAAGGAGTTGGGGACACCCAGCGACAGGGTATGGCCGGGGTACAGCAAACTGCCGATGGTCCAGAAGATGACTTTTGGGCAGTACCCAGTGAACAATCTCAGGCAGCGATTCCACATGTTCCTGAAGGACCAGGGGATGGAGCTGTTGAATAAATTGTTGACGTACGATCCTGCACAGAGGATGACTGCAGAAGATGCGGTTAAGCACGGGTATTTCACCGAGGCACCACTCGCCATCAAACCTGACATGTTCCCAACGTGGCCTGCCAAGTCTGAACTAGGCGCGAGGACGGCCAATGCCTCGCCGAAACCGCCTAGCGGAGGCAGGGAGTACAAGCAGCTTGGGGATGGCGATGAAGCTGAGATCAATTCCTCTGGAGGATTCCACATGGGGCTTCTCGATGGCGGCAGACCTCCGCCTGTGGGAGGGGGTTTCCATCTCAAATTCTGAGTGTTTGATGCAATTCATTTAGTTATGCAATTTGCGTGAATGGAGTTGTATTGTGGGCGTGACACTGTTAAGGATTATTGTTCAAGCTACTGGGGTAGCTGATTATCCATTGAATTTTGTATAGAGCAATGTGGAAACCATAATTTTTTAAGTGAAATAAAGTTGGAGAATGTGGACATTTTGGTTTCATTGTAGTGTAGTTTGATGTGTTTTTTTATCATAAGATTTTCCCTGCACCGAAATCAAATTATTATATTTCTTTTGAGGTGAATAGTCATTGTTATTGTTATTTATTTATTCAGGACCCAACAGCCGAGAAGAATTGCAGAGCCGAATCATATTACACTTCGCGATTATTTGACTGGAGAATGCGCCATTTGCAACGATAGAGCTGAAGGCTTATCAATTTTTTTGCGATCATAGAATCTTGAGAAGATCCTCGTCAATTCTTCCTGAAATCAAATCATTATATTTCTTTGGAAGTGAATATTCAGTGTTGAATTTTTGTTTTAGTTCGTGAATTTTAGAAAATGAGATAGAGTAAAAAAAATAAAAATGCTGCAGTTTCTATCTTATCGATTTATTATATACTACTGCAAGAATATACTTAGTAGCATTCAATTTCATCCATAATAAAAAGGAGACCAATAAGAATATTTTTTGTTGTTCACTGAAATCGTTCGAAATTCAGTTCGAAATGTTGCGCAAAAATTGGTATCAATTATTCAATGTCCATCTTCCTGGTTAATGTGAATTTTATTAGAATGGAGAATTGCATTGTTTTGGCAATGACAACAATGAAACGTTTGATCGGTCTGTCGTGTTGATGTACGCGCGGAGCGCGCATTCGATCTCGTACGTAAAATTAAAGAATTGTCACCGTTATGTCATGTTATCATTGCACAACTATACATCAGTGTCCTTATCAAAATTGTCAAAACAATCGGGTATAATCTATTTATCGATGAAGTCCCTGTCAACCAAATCCACCAAAGTTTCACATTATTCAAGTTTATTTATCCAGAATACTTATACATCCATGAAACTTTTGAAATTGATTGTTAGAAGAAATGTCTTATATCTTTCGACTACAATAATACAACGAGTGAAACCTACAATCGGTGCAGACTAGATAAATACATTTTTGCGTAACACTCCACAATAATACTTTCATAATCCAAAACTATGTTAAGAATTACGCATCGTCCTATTTCCCCGCACTGTTCATGTTCTTCGGCAGCCCTAGGAGTGAATTGATGATTTCCGAATTGCGTTTTGGATGGCACATGATTCCGCGCTGAGGTAGTAGGTAGAGTATCCTCGCTAGTTGCAGCTCATTGTCCTGAGATGAATTTTCATATTAAGTGACTAATAATGGATGCAGAAAATACTGCTATAGACTGAGAGAAAAAAATGTTTTCTCAAACAAGTCCTGTTTGAACTGAAAAAATCACTAGTTGAAAATTACCAAAGAATAAAATTTAGTACTGATCATTTGAAGACTGTCCAGAGATGGAAAATTATTATCGCAAATATAGATTCAGTAGTTCTAACAAATTTTTATTCTCTGCGCAAACAAGAAATACCATTTCGAGCCTACTTCTTCGTTATTTGATACTACAATACGTAGTTTGTTCCCGAAAAATGTTCGTTTTATGTAAAACAGGGGATAGTTGTTTTTCACACACAAAAAATTAATTTTTGAGTAAAATAATAATGAGAATATGATAGCAATCTCGTAGCTTGGAACGAAATATATTTTTTGAAAAACTTCCGTCTATAAGATATTTTCATCCTGGAAAGACACCGTCTCGTGTAAATCATCCGCCTCTTAAGGGGAAACGGAACCCCTGCGTTTATATGGATCTTTAGAATTGCGTTTTCTCCTGCAATTATTATTTTTTATTCATTAAACTACTTCATGACTCAACAATGCGATAATCGAGTCGATAAAGTAATTTCATAGACAGAAATTAATAATTGTAGGAGAAAACACAATTTTAAGATTTGATGTAGACAAATGGGTTCCGTCTCCCCTTAAGCCAAATATTTCGTAATTATTCATGTTTGAGACTTTCAAATTCGAATTTAAAAAATCTGTTTTTGGTCATTTTTAAATAGCGATTTTCTCAGCCCAAGCAAGAGTTGTTTGAGAACTTCGTTTTTCTCTCAGTGTAATACCACATTATTCTCTCGGTGTAATATCTCAAGGTAATACCACGCCTCTCCCATACGGAAAATTCGCTGTCATCAGATCGCGATCAGCATCGTCAATGGTACCGAGTGTTGAATCTACTATGATTACCAGAAGTATCACAAAGAAGATGGAATTCACGTTCTTAGTTGAGGGCTTCATGCTCCTGGAAATAAAATTTTATGTATTTTCTCAAGTTTCTTCATTGAATAAAATGAATAAAATTTTTAATCAGTTATAACACTTCCATTTCGCTAATAATTTCGATTCAACTTGAAAATCCCAATTATTTTTATGAAAATTCATGTACTACCTCTGTCCAATTATCTGCCCCTTCCCGCAAAATGGTAGGATGTGGAGTTTTTTAGACTTCGATTAAGCTCTGCGATCCTTTCCCAGACGTTTCCAAGACAATTCTGCCGTTTCATTATGATATCCTCGGGATTTTATACTATCAGATAATGCAAGCATGATCGAATCCTGTCGAAAACAGTCAAGAGAAAGCTGATGACTACTGCGGAATACAGAAGATATAACGCTGGAGCTTGTAGCAGTCTCTGAGCTCTATTACGCGATTGAAATCGATATAATTTTTTCCTCTCAATTCGAATTAAATGTGGAGAAAAAAGTTCAGGAAAAATTACGCGACGCTGAGAGAAATATTGACATAACATCACAGAACTAACTTCTTGCTTCAAATATCTCATCTGTTCAGGATAAAACGCTTTCGATAAGAATTCCCCGTAATGAGTCAGACCGTGTAAGAATCCTGTGAAATGTTCGTGACTTAAACACGAACACTTGGCGACGAAGTGAGAATTTCTTCCCTCAAAACATCGTTTGTTTCATGTCAAAAGGCGTATCTTATTACGGTCAAAATAAAAACGTGAATTACGCCCAAATGAAGTGTCTTTTACGTTTCACTGAGCGCATTTCACACTTAGGAAATCGTAAATTATGATCTTAATAGAAACGTATTTTGCGATTTAAAATACGAAAAAAAACATCGTATTTTACGCTTGAAATAATTTTTTTTCCTCCATTGTTAATTATTAATTATAAGAACAATCGTAATTTACGGGGGTTTTGAGCGTAATTTATGAATACGAAATAAAAATTTCCTACGATCGCTGACAGTGTTAGAATAAAATCGAAATTTTTAAGAAGGTTGCAGTAATGCTTTTTAATGAACATTGAATTTGATTCAGAGAACAAAAATCCTGAGATTTCAAATTTCACTGAATTTCTAATTCACTTCAAACTCAAGAGTACGTTTACCTCAAATTTCCTGATTTCTCGTAATTTTCACGGAATAATGGAACTGAAATTGACCGTTCCCATTAATTTTTTCAATAACTTGTGAATTTTCAATGACAAAATTCCCCGAAATTTCAGTGAAACAGCCATTTGACAAAAATTTCCAAAAGTTTACCGGAAAATTGAGCCAAAAATTTTTGCTAATCCATAAGTTCAGATGAGTCTTAATCCTTCGTTATGAGCCCATCATGTTCAGATGAAAGCGTGTGTGTGGGAAACGACACCTTTTAGGGGCCCCATACCATGATTAGCTTCGTTATTACCGATTGACTTGTATCAATACATTAGCCCCACCATTTAGCGCTGATTGAACCGAGAATTTATGCTCAATTTTTGGAGATAACCCGCTGGACCCAAAATGAGAATAAATTCCTCGAGTCAATATAAACTTTTTTTTACAAAAATCCCAGTCTCCCAAAATACTCGTTCCCTCCACCATAAATTTGTCCACTTTTAGAACTAGTCTTAGAACAGTTTCTTCAGCGATTCTGATTGCCATTCATTATAAAACTTAAATCCCCTGACTTTTGATTTGACATTAAAAAGGGAATAAAAAATTCTCATCAACGGAGACTATTGAACCGAGTAGAGATTCGAACCGTTATTTCAAATTTTCGAACAAAAGGACGAGGTGTAGGACTCACGCTATTAACCAGAAACCAGCTTGGGTTTGGCCTGAGGCGGCCTTGAACCGATTTAGTGTTTTAGTCTCAGCGACATGGTCGCAAGCACCATCGCGACAATGTGACGCCTCCTCTCGAGTCAGTCAACCTGTTCCAGTTTACTCACATCATTGCTCCTTTCGTCTCTGAAAGGAGCTTCATTATCATAACAGGCGTTATTTGACACGCAGCCAAAAAACTGTGTCTCTCCGATGAGTATGACTAGAATCAATGTTTATAAAGAAAGAATAGCATTCCGGAACTATCCATGGTCATAGCCTTCTAGCTGCTCGAGCATGACATGCACGTCCAAGTGCATCATTCAAAATTTATACGGAGAAAAATGTATGAGGAGAATGTCCGGAAGGTGTGGATAAAAATTACCGAAAAAATGCAAATGAATTTTGTGCACGGAGAGAAATTCTTTAGAAAAATCCTAGTGCTGTTAAGAGTACTATGGTGGGGTCAGGGGAAATATGAAAAAAGCAGAGAATTGAAAGACAATATTTAATACGTTATCCAATCCGTTGAGAAGCCTGTGCAAAATTTCAAGAATTCTATGTACATAATAACAGGGAAAATAACTTCTAAAGTTGCTACTTTATACGAGGTTGAAACTCGGGGGATAACCTGGGGAAGATGCTGGACCGTGTATAAAGTGCAACTTTAGAATTCTTTTACATTGTTATTGTGTACATGAGGTTTTTGATATTTTGCATTCGGTTTTTCAATGAATTGAATACTACGTTGAGAAATTTTCATTCAATTCTTTTGTGGACTCCGCCGTAATACCCTTAAAGTAAAATCTCTAGGAATTTTCTGATAAAATTTCCGGGGATTTCCGTAAAAATTTCATGTAAAAAGAAAAAATTCACGTCCTACCACGACCACTGGAATCGTTTCCGGGCCGTCATTTTGCGCCCCTTTTCTCGTGTTAGCACTGCAATTTTTCTAAAGAAATTGTCTCCGTGCAGAACTTCTGGTAAAATTGGAAAA